CTTCGTCTGACTTATTATTATTGACACCAAAGAATGTTCTTATCTTATCTGTCATTAAAAATTGTTATACGAAAAAATGAAATGTAAATAATTATCAACCGTAATAGTAAACTATATTTTATCGAAATATTGCCCGAGGGTTTAATTTCAAATTCTGGTCCAAATTAAGTTTAATCCGAGCCATTATTCGAAATTAGATTTTGGAACCGATTTTAATCAGGTTTAACATATGAAAAAATAAAACCGGTTCAAATCTCTATTCGAAATAACGCGCACTCCCGTTATTTTGCGAAAATAAGGATATGAAATTGTACCTGAAATTGTCTGTTGCTCAATCGTTGCAATGGCATCAATTACGGACACAAGACCAGAATCCGATAGCTGCAAGGTAACCTTTACTTTAGGTCGTTCGGCATCATTATCACTATGTTGCTTAACGACATCGGATAATCCCGTAACCTTAGCAATAGCAATATCTGTTGGTCCAAAATCCTTCAACACATTTTCATTTAATTTTCCGTAATTTAATGAGAAATTAAAATCACTTGTGCGTTTAAAGCTCATTATTTTACGAGTTCCAACGGATGTAAATTCATCAAACAAAATCGTACGAAAGACTTTGTTTTTCATAGTTCCTTTATGAAATATAAAATAAGCAAATGCTCGTATATTCCAAAATTAAATCATCATTTTTAAAAAAAAATTGAACTAATTTTTTTGAGCTTACCGTCATCGGATTCTTTTAGTTCAGATTCATAATCAACTTTAATAGGGTACGAAGCAATGTCTTTGACTTTAATTTCCTTAACTTTGAATTGACGACTTAATCCGGCACCTCTAAAAGCCGCACCTTTGTGTCAATTAGAAATAAATTCGATTATAATTAACAAAGTTAATTATAAAATTTGCTGAGTAAAACAAAAAAAAAAAAAACACAAGATACCAAGGACAGCAGCTTCGTCACCGTTCACATTTTGAGCTATCTTATCCCTATAATTACAAAGATATGATATTGTGTATAATTAAACTTGATACTATTTAAAAAAAAAATTTTTTTTATTGGTAAAATTTTCAATATGAAACTTACTCTCCAACAGTATCCTTAACCATAGATTGAATAGCTGGTACTCGGACTCCGCCACCAACCAATACACAAGAATGAATATCAGCCTAGGGATATAAACATATTATGAATAATCCTGATTATATTTTATGAATAATCCTGATTATATTTTTAAAATATGTTAAGAATTTTTCCTACCAAAGTCATTTTTGCATTATTCAACACATCCTGAATTGGTCCATTGACACGTTTTATAAGATCGACTATCATTGCTTCAAGTTCAGATCGAGTTATGGCAATACGGAAATCACGTTCTTCGTGCAAATTTTCCAACTACAAATTTATAGCATTATTCATAAAAATATTCATTGGAACAAACATAAATCTTGTCCGATAAAATTTACTAACTGATGCCATGGTTTCCGTATTTGCACTAAGAATTTGCTTCACCCTATTAGCTTCTTTGAGTAGTCTTGTCATGGCGCGTGGAGATTTGAAAACAGATTCTTTTAATTTTCCTTCGTAAGTTTTATCAAATTGTTCAGCGAAATATGTTCGAAGACGAATATCAATTTCTTGTCCACCAAGAGTCCTATCATATCCAATCGAGATCACGTCCAAATTGATAACCGTCTTGTTGAAACGACCTACATCTTTCACTTCAACCGTCTTAAAACTTATCAAGCTCGCCTTTGTGCTGCCAGCGCCCATATCATAAAATATATGATATTGTGGTTCTTCGGTAAATGTTGAAAAATGCGTGATCGCGTAATTTAACCCCACTATATATTAAATTAGTGTTAAATCCGATAAATATAAGCTTTATAGTGAAAAAAAAACAGTAAAACACGATCAAAGACACACCAGCTGTTTCTTCATTGATTAAAGAAAGAACGTGTAAACCAGCAATATCTGCGGCGTCTAAAATAGCTTGTCTTTCGAATTGGTTGTAATAGGGCGGTACCTTATTTAAACAGGTATTATCACAAAGTTGGATACTTTACATAAATTCATTGATTGAATCGATTATTCAAATTTTTCTAAATACCGTGATAACAACATCTTTGATGGTTTCCTGAGCAGTGGCTTCGGCCAATTCTCTAGCATGAGAAAGTTGCATCGCGAGAAGTTCCTCCAAGGAAAAGACTGTGGTTTCATTATGTTGAAATAATATAGTTCCTCTTAAAGGATCTGGTATAATCTTGTTAGGAAAAATTGATTGATATGCTTTTGCGTATTCATCGTCAGCCAGACGTCCGATAATTTGCTTGAGACTAAAGTAAGTATTAAATGGAAACCGCGCACCCTAAATTGATTTAATCATAAGTGCAACTCTTTGATCATTAAGCTAAACTTCACCGAGAATATTAATTTTTCCTTTTGAAGAGTCATGAAAATTGCTCATTCCCATTAATTGAATTCATTTTACTTACGAGATTTACTGCATCCGTCCCATAAATTCTTTCTTCACCCCGTATGGTTAACACAGACGGTGTTTTTCGTTTTGAGTCCCTATTTAACACAATATCAAGAGGTATTCCCGGTTTGACAAGGCCAACTTTAAACCAGTTTGTCCCGTAATCAACAGCAATTACTGCTGCCTCACTAATTGGCAGTATAAACACTGCTGTCAAAAGGAAACCTGTTCCCAGTATAAAAAATAATGTCCTTAACATTGTTAAAGAGAAAGTAAATTTCAAAATTTTCTTTTTAGCAGAATTCGGTCAATTTATTTTCTATCTACTCT